GGCGGGGGTGGATTTCCCAGGGTCGAACCAGCTTTCGTTAACCCCCTGCTCCCACATTGTCCACTGTCAAGATTGTTCAGCTTTCCGATGAGGGGAGTCGACGACAGTTGCTGGTCAAACTGAACAGTCAATGTACATGTAGCACACACGAACTTGCCTCCACACAAACCACCACGTTTATAGGTCGCTGAAACATGGTTAAGTGAGAAACTTGTAGACTGAAGCGTTACCTAAGACAATCACCCCCAATTTCGAGGTGCTACACTGTGTGACGGAATTAATTTTGTCAAATTTATAGCCTGCCCGTTCACCTTTACCAAGTGGGTTTTTCCCACGACTTCCATGGTCTCTTCGAACTCCTGTTGACTTACGGACTCTAAGTCAAATATAAATCTAGGTCTATTGGTAGCAACAGACGAGTGGCCTTGTGGAAACAGTTAATTAATGGTTTTTCACAAAATTAACTAAAAGATATTTTTTCTCAGTCACCTACACTTTACGCACTTGTTTATGCCCTTAAGCTTGACATAACTACGCTGTGGGCCAAATTGACTAAAACCACCTGCTTCTAATAGATAAATAAGCTAATTAACTACTTGCACGTCTTGGGAGTCCAATCATATGTTTTCTATTCCGTGTAGGCAGATAGAATTGACCCCCGCTGAATTGCCGAAGTCCGAAGAAAAAAAGTACCTCTTTGATAACAGTGATATTTCCGATGGGACTTTTGATTCCACGGAAAATCTGATAGATGCTGTGCAGGCCACTGAACAACAGAATGCTGCACCCCCGCGGATCGCAGTAACTCCTCAATCCCCAGTTGCTGCGCCTTCGGAACAGGACTTGTCGCTGACCCGTCACTCTCAACCGGTGCCAGTCTCCATCACGACAACAACGTTGCAGGACGATGTGGTTGTTGGTCCCGTGACGTTTTCAAATGACCTTGAACCTCAAAGTCTGACTGCCCGCACTAGTCGATCGTTAGAGCAGCCGGTGCAGGAGAAACAAGAGGTGAGCTCTTCAGGCTTCCCGAAACCCGCTAGACCTCCGCCTCCATCACAGATGGCGACTCTGAGTAAGAACTCTGGTACTTATCAGCGTGTTCCGTGCACGGATAATCGGATTTCTGAGCAGGAACGCTTCGGACGAGGTCACGTCTCTGGCACGAATGGCGCGCTTACTGTCAAACCGCGTACCAATACGGTCTACTCTGGGCCGGTGCCTTGTCTGCGGTCTAATAAGAACGGTTACGAATGCAGTCCTCGTCGGCAACCGAAGGCAGATGGAAGTCCAGTTCATCAGCGAACGGGCACACCACAACAGCCGGCTCGTCATGGAGTTCATCAACCAAAGCGACACCCTGCGGACCGTACAGGAATCCCACATTCTAACTCCTCTCAAGATTTGCACTCGGAAGAAATGGCTAAGGAAATGGTGGTTGTTGGAACATGTACTGCCCTCTACGACTTTACTAGTAAGTCTTGGTAAAAAACTGCAATTGATTTTCCATTAAGTTTGCCCGATGTTGGCATTGGATGCATTTGTGCTAACACCTTCTGGTTTAAGTTGAAAGCAATAGGTCAATATGATTTGTGTGACTTGTACGTTTATTCTTCAGACGAGGGCATGGAAAAGAAATGAACACCGGAAAG